TGGTTTAATGTGACAGTGTTGATATCGTGGGCTGCCGTGTCGATACGTATGGTTTAATGTGACAGTGTGATATCGTGGGCTGCCCTGTCGATATATCGTATGGTTTAATGTGACAGTGTTGATATCGTGGGCTGCCGTGTCGATATAGCGTATGGTTTAATGTGACTGTCGATATCGTGGGCTGCCCTGTCGATATATCGTATGGTTTAATGTGACAGTGTTGATATCGTGGGCTGCCCTGTCGATATATCGTATGGTTTAATGTGACTGTCGATATCGTGGGCTGCCCTGTCGATATATCGTATGGTTTAATGTGACAGTGTTGATATCGTGGGCTGCCCTGTCGATATATCGTATGGTTTAATGTGACAGTGTTGATATCGTGGGCTGCCCTGTCGATATATCGTATGGTTTAATGTGACAGTGTTGATATCGTGGGCTGCCCTGTCGATATATCGTATGGTTTAATGTGACAGTGTTGATATCGTGGGCTGCCGTGTCGATATATCGTGGAGTATTTTATGGTTTAGTTTTGTGGTTTTGTTTTGGAAACTTGTTTGTGCGACACTTTTGAACTTTGAACTTTTGAAGAGGTTAAACAAACACACGATTCAGACTTTTTATTTTATCGAACTGAACGTGCACAGTATCGATAAGTATCGTATCGACAACTGAATCTACCAGCCCTAGAAACGATATCTCCTGACAGGATTAGACCTGACCTGGTTCTGACCCGGTTCTGGTGTGGTTCTGACCCGGTTCTGGTGTGGTTCTGACCCAGTTCTGGTGTGGTTCTGACCCGGTTCTGGTGTGGTTCTGGTGTGGTTCTGACCCGGTTCTGGTGTGGTTCTGACCCAGTTCTGGTGTGGTTCTGACCCGGTTCTGTCGTGGTTCTGGTGTGGTTCTGACCCGGTTCTGGTGTGGTTCTGGTGTGTTGCAGGTCTGAGGAGCAGGGGTCATGGTTCTGTCGTGGTTCTGTCGTGGTTCTGTCGTGGTTCTGTTGTGGTTCTGTTGTGGTTCTGGTGTGGTTCTGGTGTGGTTCTGGTGTGTTTGCAGGTCTGAGGAGCAGGGGTCGTGGTTCTGTCGTGGTTCTGGTGTGGTTCTGACCCGGTTCTGGTGTGGTTCTGGTGTGTTGCAGGTCTGAGGAGCAGGGGTCATGGTTCTGTCGTGGTTCTGGTGTGGTTCTGGTGTGGTTCTGACCCGGTTCTGGTGTGGTTCTGGTGTGTTGCAGGTCTGAGGAGCAGGGGTCGTGGTTCTGTCGTGGTTCGTTGTGGTTCTGACCCGGTTCTGGTGTGGTTCTGGTGTGTTGCAGGTCTGAGGAGCAGGGGTCGTGGTTCTGTCGTGGTTCTGGTGTGGTTCTGGTGTGGTTCTGACCCGGTTTTCTGGTGTGGTTCTGGTGTGTTGCAGGTCTGAGGAGCAGGGGTCGTGGTTCTGTCGTGGTTCTGGTGTGGTTCTGACCCGGTTCTGGTGTGGTTCTGGTGTGTTGCAGGTCTGAGGAGCAGGGGTCATGGTTCTGTCGTGGTTCTGGTGTGGTTCTGTGTGTGGTTCAGACCGGTTCTGGTGTGGTTCTGGTGTGTTGCAGGTCTGAGGAGCAGGGGTCATGGTTCTGTCGTGGTTCTGGTGTGGTTCTGACCCGGTTCTGGTGTGGTTCTGGTGTGTTGCAGGTCTGAGGAGCAGGGGTCATGGTTCTGTCGTGGTTCTGTTGTGGTTCTGGTGTGGTTCTGGTGTGTGTTGCAGGTCTGAGGAGCAGGGGTCGTGGTTCTGTCGTGGTTCTGTCGTGGTTCTGTCGTGGTTCTGTCGTGGTTCTGGTGTGGTTCTGACCCGGTTCTGGTGTGGTTCTGGTGTGTTGCAGGTCTGAGGAGCAGGGGTCATGGTTCTGTCGTGGTTCTGTCGTGGTTCTGTTTGTGGTTCTGTTGTGGTTCTGTCGTGGTTCTGTTGTGGTTCTGGTGTGGTTCTGGTGTGTTGCAGGTCTGAGGAGCAGGGGTCATGGTTCTGTCGTGGTTCTGTTGTGGTTCTGACCCGGTTCTGGTGTGGTTCTGGTGTGTTGCAGGTCTGAGGAGCAGGGGTCATGGTTCTGTCGTGGTTCTGTCGTGGTTCTGTTGTGTTCTGTCGTGGTTCTGTCGTGGTTCTGTCGTGGTTCTGTTGTGGTTCTGGTGTGTTGCAGGTCTGAGGAGCAGGGGTCGTGGTTCTGTCATGGTTCTGGTGTGGTTCTGACCCGGTTCTGGTGTGGTTCTGGTGTGTTGCAGGTCTGAGGAGCAGGGGTCATGGTTCTGTCGTGGTTCTGTCGTGGTTCTGTTGTGGTTCTGTTGTGGTTCTGGTGTGGTTCTGGTGTGGTTCTGGTGTGTTGCAGGTCTGAGGAGCAGGGGTCGTGGTTCTGTCGTGGTTCTGGTGTGGTTCTGACCCGGTTCTGGTGTGGTTCTGGTGTGTTGCAGGTCTGAGGAGCAGGGGTCATGGTTCTGTCGTGGTTCTGGTGTGGTTCTGTTGTGGTTCTGACCCGGTTCTGGTGTGGTTCTGGTGTGTTGCAGGTCTGAGGAGCAGGGGTCGTGGTTCTGTCGTGGTTCTGTTGTGGTTCTGACCCGGTTCTAGTGTGGTTCTGGTGTGTTGCAGGTCTGAGGAGCAGGGGTCGTGGTTCTGTCGTGGTTCTGGTGTGGTTCTGGTGTGGTTCTGACCCGGTTCTGGTGTGGTTCTGGTGTGTTGCAGGTCTGAGGAGCAGGGGTCGTGGTTCTGTCGTGGTTCTGGTGTGGTTCTGACCCGGTTCTGGTGTGGTTCTGGTGTGTTGCAGGTCTGAGGAGCAGGGGTCATGGTTCTGTCGTGGTTCTGGTGTGGTTCTGTTTGTGGTTCAGAGCCGGTTCTGGTGTGGTTCTGGTGTGTTTGCAGGTCTGAGGAGCAGGGGTCATGGTTCTGTCGTGGTTCTGGTGTGGTTCTGACCCGGTTCTGGTGTGGTTCTGGTGTGTTGCAGGTCTGAGGAGCAGGGGTCATGGTTCTGTCGTGGTTCTGTTGTGGTTCTGGTGTGGTTCTGGTGTGTTGCAGGTCTGAGGAGCAGGGGTCGTGGTTCTGTCGTGGTTCTGTCGTGGTTCTGTCGTGGTTCTGGTGTGGTTCTGACCCGGTTCTGGTGTGGTTCTGGTGTGTTGCAGGTCTGAGGAGCAGGGGTCATGGTTCTGTCGTGGTTCTGTCGTGGGTTCTGTTGTGGTTCTGTTGTGGTTCTGTCGTGGTTCTGTTGTGGTTCTGGTGTGGTTCTGGTGTGTGTTGCAGGTCTGAGGAGCAGGGGTCATGGTTTCTGTCGTGGTTCTGTTGTGGTTCTGACCCGGTTCTGGTGTGGTTCTGGTGTGTTGCAGGTCTGAGGAGCAGGGGTCATGGTTCTGTCGTGGTTCTGTCGTGGTTTCTGTCGTGGTTCTGTCGTGGTTCTGGTTCTGTTGTGGTTCTGGTGTGTTGCAGGTCTGAGGAGCAGGGGTCGTGGTTCTGTCATGGTTCTGGTGTGGTTCTGACCCGGTTCTGGTGTGGTTCTGGTGTGTTGCAGGTCTGAGGAGCAGGGGTCGTGGTTCTGGTGTGGTTCTGTGTGTGGTTCTGACCCGGTTCTGGTGTGGTTCTGGTGTGTTGCAGGTCTGAGGAGCAGGGGTCGTGGTTTCTGTCGTGGTTCTGGTGTGTGGTTCTGACCCGGTTCTGTTGTGGTTCTGGTGTGTTGCAGGTCTGAGGAGCAGGGGTCATGGTTCTTTCGTGGTTCTGTTGTGGTTCTGGTGTGTGGTTCTGGTGTGTTGCAGGTCTGAGGAGCAGGGGTCGTGGTTCTGGTCGTGGTTCTGGTGTGGTTCTGGTGTGGTTTCTGACCCGGTTCTGGTGTGGTTCTGGTGTGTTGCAGGTCTGAGGAGCAGGGGTCATGGTTCTGTCGTGGTTCTGTTGTGGTTCTGGTGTGGTTCTGGTGTGTTGCAGGTCTGAGGAGCAGGGGTCGTGGTTCTGTCGTGGTTCTGGGTGCGGTTTCTGACCCGGTTCTGGTGTGTTGCAGGTCTGAGGAGCAGGGGTCATGGTTCTGTCGTGGTTCTGGTGTGGTTCTGACCCGGTTCTGGTGTGTTGCAGGTCTGAGGAGCAGGGGTCATGGTTCTGTCGTGGTTCTGTTGTGGTTCTGACCGGTTCTGGTGTGGTTCTGGTGTGTTGCAGGTCTGAGGAGCAGGGTCATGGTTCTGTCGTGGTTCTGTCGTGGTTCTGTCGTGGTTCTGTTGTGGTTCTGTCGTGGTTCTGGTGTGGTTCTGACCCGGTTCTGGTGTGGTTCTGGTGTGTTGCAGGTCTGAGGAGCAGGGGTCATGGTTCTGTCGTGGTTCTGGTGTGGTTCTGACCCGGTTCTGGTGTGTTGCAGGTCTGAGGAGGCAGGGGTCATGGTTCTGTCGTGGTTCTGTTGTGGTTCTTGACCCGGTTCTGGTGTGGTTCTGGTGTGTTGCAGGTCTGAGGAGCAGGGGTCATGGTTCTGTCGTGGTTCTGTTCGTGGTTCTGTCGTGGTTCTGTTGTGGTTCTGTCGTGGTTCTGGTGTGGTTCTGACCCGGTTCTGGTGTGTTGCAGGTCTGAGGAGCAGGGGTCGTGGTTCTGTCGTGGTTCTGGTGTGGTTCTGACCCGGTTCTGGTGTGGTTCTGTGTGTGTTGCAGGTCTGAGGAGCAGGGGTCGTGGTTCTGTTGTGGTTCTGGTGTGGTTCTGACCCGGTTCTGTCGTGGTTCTGGTGTGTTGCAGGTCTGAGGAGCAGGGGTCATGGTTCTGTCGTGGTTCTGTCGTGGTTCTGTCGTGGTTCTGGTGTGGTTCTGTCGTGGTTCTGGTGTGGTTCTGACCCGGTTCTGGTGTGGTTCTGGTGTGTTGCAGGTCTGAGGAGCAGGGGTCATGGTTCTGTCGTGGTTCTGGTGTGGTTCTGACCCGGTTCTGGTGTGGTTCTGGTGTGTTGCAGGTCTGAGGAGCAGGGGTCATGGTTCTGTCGTGGTTCTGGTGTGGTTCTGACCCGGTTCTGGTGTGGTTCTGGTGTGTTGCAGGTCTGAGGAGCAGGGGTCATGGCGTCCTATGACCAGCTGCTGAGGCAGGTGGAGGTGCTGAAGATGGAGAACTCCACCCTGAGACAAGAGCTGCAGGACAACTCCACCCACCTGAGCAAACTCGAGTCCGAGGCCTCCAACATGAAGGTACCACTGGACCTGGACCCGGACCTGGACCCGGACCCGGACCTGCTCCAGACGCTCTGTTCCACCTCATGATGTCATCAAGTGAACAGCTCCTTTTCTCTTTAGTTGAGTCAAGATCAACGACTCCACGACTGAAACGATCCAGATGATTCTAGTGAAGGTGAAGTGTGGAGTTTAAAAACACACTGGAGCACTTCCTGTATCACCACATGATGACATCACGAGGTGGAAAGAGCAGAGGATTATGGGACATGGAGTCTCAGGATAAATGACATTAGAACAAAGATTCCAACAGTCTCCTCTCTCCTTGTCTCCTTTACTCGTCTCCTCTCTCCTTGCCTCCTTTACTCGTCTCCTCTCTCCCTATTTCCTCATCTCCTCTCCTTGTCTCCTTTCCTCTCTTCTCTCTCCCTATTTTCTTGTCTCCTCTCTCCTTGTCTCCTTTCCTCTCTTCTCTCTCCTTATTTCCTCGTCTCCTCTCTCCTTGTCTCCTTTCCTCTCTTCTCTCTCCTTATTTCCTCGTCTCCTCTCTCCTTGTCTCCTTTCCTCTTTTCTCTCTCCTCATTTCCTCGTCTCCTCTCTCCTTGTCTCCTTTCCTTTCTTCTCTCTCCTTTCCTCGTCTCCTCTCTCCTTGTCTCCTTTCCTCTCTTCTCTCTCCTTATTTCCTCGTCTCCTCTCTCCTTGTCTCCTTTCCTCTCTTCTCTCTCCTCATTTCCTCGTCTCCTCGTGTCCTTGTCTCCTTTTCTCGTCTCCTGTCTCCTCTGATGTGAGTGGACAGTCCCTCGTCTCCTTCCCTCCTTCCCCGTCAGTCACATGACCTCGTCTCCGTGGTCATGTGACTCTTGGCGTTTCTATAAATAGCTCCTGATCTTTCGTCCAATCCGGCGCCTCTCCTCAAACGCAGCCTCGTGATTGGTCCTCCTCTTCTCTCCGTCTTTTCTCGTCATCCCTCTTTCCTTTCGTCTTTTGTTTCTGTTTATTTTATGACTTTATTCCCATTGGTGGATCCCGCTGGGTTAGTCCCGCCCCTTATTGTCCCGCTTCCTGTCCATCACTTCCTGGTTGTTTCCTGTTTCCTGTTGTTGTGGACATGTCTGTGTTGGAGCGCTGCCGTCTGATCGTGGTGAGACGCGCGCTTTAAAACTCCTCTTCCTCTCCTCTTCGTCTTCCTCTCTCTTCCTCTCGTCTTCGTCTCTCGTCTTCCTCTCGTCTTCCGTCTTCCTCTCGTCTTCCTCTCGTCTTCGTCTTCCTCTCGTTTTCGTCTTCCTCTCCTCTTCTCTCCTCTTCCTCTCGTCTTCCTCTCGTCTTCGTCTTCCTCTCGTCTTCGTCTTCCTCTCGTCTTCGTCTTCCTCTCTTCTTCTCTCGTCTTCCTCTCGTCTTCGTCTTCCTCTCCTCTTCCTCTCGTCTTCGTCTTCGTCTTCCTCTCGTCTTCGTCTTCCTCTCCGTCTTCCTCTCGTTTTCGTCTTCGTCTTCCTCTCGTTTTCGTCTTCGTCTTCTCTCGTCTTCTCTTCCTCTTCCTCTCGTCTTCGTCTTCTCTCGTCGTCTTCTCTCTCTCGTCTTCGTCTTCGTCTTCTCTCTTTTCGTCTCTCGTCTTCGTCTCGTCTTCGTCTTCCTCTCGTCTTCTCTTCGTCTTCGTCTTCCTCTCGTCTTCTTCGTCTTCCTCTCGTTTCTCGTCTTCGTCTTCCTCTCGTCTTCGTCTCCTCTCGTCTCGTCTTCCTCTCGTCTTCGTCTTCCTCTCGTCTTTTCGTCTTCGTCTTCCTCTCGTCTTTCGTCTTCCTCTCGTCTTCGTCTTCGTCTTCCTCTCGTCTTCGTCTTCGTCTTCCTCTCGTCTTCGTCTTCCTCTCGTCTTCGTCTTCCTCTCGTTTTCGTCTTCGTCTTCCTCTCGTCTTCGTCTTCCTCTCCTCTTCCTCTCGTCTTCGTCTTCCTCTCGTCTTTCTCTCTCGTCTTCTCTCGTCTTCGTCTCTCGTCTTCCTCTTCGTCTTCGTCTTCGTCTTCGTCTTCTCTCTTCGTCTTCTCTCTCGTCTCTCGTCTTCTCTCGTCTTCCTCTCGTCTTCGTCTTCCTCTCGTCTCTCGTCTCTCGTCTCGTCTCTCTCGTCTTCGTCTTCCTCTCGTCGTCTTCGTCTTCCTCTCGTCTCTTCGTCTTCCTCTCGTCTTCTCTCGTCTCTCGTCTCGTCTTCGTCTTCTTCGTCTTCGTCTTCTCGTCTCGTCTTCTCTCGTCTTCGTCTTCCTCTCGTCTTCGTCTTCTCTCTCCGTCTTCCTCTCGTCTTCCTCTCGTCTTCCTCTCGTCTTCGTCTTCGTCTTCCTTCTCGTCTTCGTCTGTCTTCGTCTTCTCTCGTCTTCGTCTCCTCTCGTCTTCGTCTTCGTCTCTTGTCTTCGTCTTCCTCTCGTCTTCGTCTCTTCGTCTTCCTCTCGTCCTTCTCTTCGTCTCGTCTCTCTCTCGTCTTCGTCTTCCTCTCGTCTTCCTCTCGTCTTCGTCTTCCTCTCGTCTTCGTCTTCTTCGTCTTCGTCTTCTCTCTTCGTCTTCCTCTCGTCTTCGTCTTCCTCTCGTCTTCTTCTCTCGTCTTCGTCTTCCTCTCGTCTTCGTCTTCGTCTTCCTCTCGTCAGGTGTGTGTGAGGAGGAGGAGCGTCCCTCAGAGCAGAGGATCATGGGAGCTTTCTGTGTGTGTGTTTCAGGAAGTGCTGAAGCAGCTGCAGGGGACGATAGAAGAAGACACAGGAGACGGAGGAGGCTCCCACGAACTCATCGAGAGACTGAAAGGTGAAGAAGAAGAAGAGGAGGAGGAGGAGGAAGAGAGGAAGAGGAAGAGAGGGAGGGAGAGGAGAACAGGGCTGCAAACTTGTGACTGGAGCTGTGACTCGTCGACGATGTCGACTCTGAAAATACATGGGCATCTGTAGAGTGTGTGTAGGGTGCTATATTCCCCTATAGATCTGTGCTTTAGTGAGAACAGTCAGGTCTCATGGTCTCTTTTTGGGTCTCGGTCTGGGTCTCGGTCTGGTCTGGTCTGGGTCTCGGTCTTGGTCTGGGTCTTGGTCTGGGTCTCGGTCTTGGTCTGGTCTCGGTCTCGGTCTGGGTCTCGGTCTCGGTCTGGGTCTCGGTCTGGGTCTGGGTCTCACTGTGTGTTCTGTGTTCCAGAGATGAGCCTGGACCCTGCGGGGTTTAAGCCCAGGAGCAGGCCTCCTGTGCCCCCATCGTCCTCCTCCTCCTCGGCCTCTTCCTCTGGAGCTCCAGCCCAGCGCAGAGGAGCGCCCCCTGTGGACAGAGAGGGACACGACAGAGGAGCGCCCCCTGCGGGCAGAGAGGGACACGACAGAGGAGCGCCCCCTGCGGGCAGAGAGGGACACGACAGAGGAGCGCCCCCTGCGGGCAGAGAGGGACACGACAGAGGAGCGCCCCCTGCGGGCAGAGAGGGACACGACAGAGGAGCGCCCCCTGCGGGCAGAGAGGGACACGACAGAGCCCTGGAGGAGCTGGAGAAGGAGAGGTACAAACTGTTTCAAGTGACTCATCCAAGTTTATTTGATTTATTTGATTTGTTATTTAACCCTGAGTGTTTAAACATGACACAATAAATGTACAGGTCACATTTAACTCTCAACTCAGTGTCAAGAGTTCTGAACATTTACACCAACACCTACAGCCCCTCACCAGCAGAGGGCGCTAACCCCCCACGGATTTATTATAGATCTGTGAGTGTAGATTTGTTTTTGTGAGGGTAGATTTGTTTTTGTGAGTGTAGATTTGTGAGTGTAGTTTTGTGGGCACTGAGGCAGGGAGGCTCTCTGGTTGGTCTGTTATTAAGGTGTCTGCTCTCTGATTGGCTCTTGTCTCTGTCCGTCTCTCTCAGAGCGCTCCTATTGGCTGAGCTGGAGAAGGAGGAGAAGGAGAAGGACTGGTACTACGCCCAGCTCCAGAACCTGACCAAACGCATCGACAGCCTCCCGCTCACCGAAAACGTACGATACCACCCCCGACTCCACCCACAACCACACCCCCGACTCCACCCACAACCACACCCCCGACTCCACCCACACACCACCCACAACCACACCCCCGACTACACCACAACCACACCCCGACTCACCCACACCCACAACCACACCCCCGACACCACCCACAACACACCCCCCGACTACACCCACAACCACACCCCCGACTCCACCCACAACCACACCCCCGACTCCACACACACCCCGACTCCACACCACCCCGACTCCACAACCACACCCGACCCACCACAACCACCCCCCGACTCACACCCACACCCACAACCACACCCCCGACACCCACCACAACCACACCCCGACTCCACCCACAACCCACCCCGACTCCACCCACAACCACACCCTCGACTCCACCCACAACCACACCCCCGACTCCACCCACAACCACACCCCCGACTACACCCACAACCACACCCCCGACTCCACCCACACCCACAACCACACCCCCGACTACACCCACACCCACAACCACACCCCCGACTCCACCCACAACCACACCCACAACCACTGGCCTATAACCGACCCCTCACCCCACACCTCACCTGTGTGTGTGTTCATTATGTGTCGCACACAGCTTTGTGTGTGTGGTGTTGTTGTTTGTGCGTCTGTATGTGTTGTAGTTGTGCGTCTGTGTGTGTTGTCTGTGTGTGTTGTAGTTGTGCATCTATGTGTGTTGTAGTTGATTGTGCATCTGTGTGTGTTGTTGTAGTTGTGCGTCTGTGTGTGTGTTGTACGTCTGTGTGTGTGTTGTAGTTGATTGTGCGTCTGTGTGTGTAGTTGTGCGTCTGTGTGTGTTGTTGTAGTTGTGCGTCTGTGTGTGTGTTGTAGTTGTGCGTCTGTGTGTGTGTGTAGTTGTGCGTCTGTGTGTGTAGTTGTGCGTCTGTGTGTGTGTTGTAGTTGTGCGTCTGTGTGTGTGTTGTAGTTGATTGTGCGTCTGTGTGTGTGTTGTAGTTGATTGTGCGTCTGTGTGTGTGTTGTAGTTGATTGTGCGTCTGTGTGTGTAGTTGTGCGTCTGTGTGTGTTGTAGTTGTGCGTCTGTGTGTGTAGTTGTGCGTCTGTGTGTGTGTTGTTGTTGATTGTGCGTGTTTGTGTAGTTGTAGTTTGTGCGTGTTTGTGTTGTTGTAGTTGATTGTGCGTGTTTGTGTAGTTGTAGTTGATTGTGCGTCTGTGTGTAGTTGTAGTTGATTGTGCGTGTTTGTGTAGTTGTAGTTGATTGTGCGTGTTTGTGTTGTTGTAGTTGATTGTGCGTGTTTGTGTTGTTGTAGTTGATTGTGCGTGTGTGTGTAGTTGTAGTTGATTGTGCGTGTTTGTGTAGTTGTAGTTGATTGTGCGTGTTTGTGTTGTTGTAGTTGATTGTGCGTGTTTGTGTAGTTGTAGTTGATTGTGCGTGTTTGTGTAGTTGTAGTTGATTGTGCGTGTGTGTGTAGTTGTAGTTGATTGTGCGTGTTTGTGTTGTTGTAGTTGATTGTGCGTCTGTGTGTAGTTGTAGTTGATTGTGCGTGTTTGTGTTGTTGTAGTTGTGCGTGTTTGTGTAGTTGTAGTTGATTGTGCGTGTTTGTGTTGTTGTAGTTGATTGTGCGTCTGTGTGTAGTTGTAGTTGATTGTGCGTGTTTGTGTTGTTGTAGTTGTGCGTCTGTGTGTAGTTGTAGTTGATTGTGCGTGTTTGTGTTGTTGTTGTAGTTGTGCGTCTGTGTGTAGTTGTAGTTGATTGTGCGTGTTTGTGTTGTAGTTGTGCGTCTGTGTGTAGTTATAGTTGTGCGTGTTTGTGTTGTTGTAGTTGATTGTGCGTGTTTGTGTAGTTGTAGTTGATTGTGCGTGTTTGTGTTGTTGTAGTTGATTGTGCGTGTTTGTGTTGTTGTAGTTGATTGTGCATGTTTGTGTTGTTGTAGTTGTGCGTGTTTGTGTTGTTGTAGTTGTGCGTGTTTGTGTTGTTGTAGTTGATTGTGCGTGCGTCTGTGTGTAGTTGTAGTTGATTGTGCGTGTTTGTGTTGTAGTTGATTGTGCGTGTTTGTGTTGTAGTTGATTGTGCGTGTTTGTGTTGTTGTAGTTGATTGTGTGTCTTGTGTGTGTAGTTGTGTTGATGTGTTGTTGTGTTGTGTGTTGTGTTGTGCTGTCTGTGTGTAGTTGTAGTTGATTGTGCGTGTTTGTGTTGTTGTAGTTGATTGTGCGTCTGTGTGTAGTTGTAGTTGATTGTGCGTGTTTGTGTTGTTGTAGTTGATTGTGCGTGTTTGTGTTGTTGTAGTTGATTGTGCGTCTGTGTGTAGTTGTAGTTGATTGTGCGTGTTTGTGTTGTTGTAGTTGTGCGTCTGTGTGTAGTTGTAGTTGATTGTGCGTGTTTGTGTTGTTGTAGTTGTGCGTCTGTGTGTAGTTGTAGTTGATTGTGCGTGTTTGTGTTGTTGTAGTTGTGCGTCTGTGTGTAGTTGTAGTTGATTGTGCGTGTTTGTGTTGTTGTAGTTCACTCTTCAGACGGACATGAGTCGTCGACAGTTGGAGTTTGAAGCTCGTCAGATTCGTTCTGCCATGGAGGAACAACTGGGCTCCTGTCAGGAGATGGAGAGAAGAGCTCAGGTCTGTCTGCACCACCTGCACCACCTGCACCACCTGCACCACCTCACCTGCACCACCTGCACCACCTGCACCACCTGCACCACCTGCACCACCTGCACCACCTGCACCACCTATACCACCTGCACCACCTGCACCACCTGCACCACCTATACCACCTGCACCACCTATACCACCTGCACCACCTACCACCTAACCACCTATGCACCACCTGCACCACCTATACCACCTGCACCACCTGCACCACCTGCACCACCTGCACACCACCTATACCACCTGCACCACCTATACCACCTGCACCACCTGCACCACCTACCTACCACCACCTATACCACCTGCACCACCTATACCACCTGCACCACCTGCACCACCTACACACCACCTATACCACCTGCACCACCTATACACCTGCACCACCTATGCACCACCCTGCACCACCTGCACCACCACCTGCACCACCACACACCACCTATACCACCTGCACCACCTATACCACCTGCACCACCTATACCACCTGCACCACCTAATACCACCTGCACCACCACCTGCACCACCTATACCACCTGCACCACCTGCACCACCTGCACCACCTGCACCACCTGCATGCACCACCTGCACCACCTGCACCACCTGCACCACCTGCACCACCTGCACCACCTATACCACCTGCACCACCATACACACCACCTACACACCACACCACCTATACACCACCTATACCACCTGCACCACCTACCTACACCACCTACACCACCTGCACCTGCACCACCTATACCACCTGCACCACCTACACCACCTGCACCACCTATACCACCTGCACCACCTGCACCACCTGCACCACCTGCACCACCTACACACCACCTGCACCAACTACACACCACCTGCACCACCTGCACCACGTGGAGCAGGTGGAGCAGGTGGAGGTGGAGCAGAGGAGGGTTCAGTCTGACTTTTGTTTCTGTTTCAGGCTCGAGTCTCTCGGATCCAACAGATTGAGAAGGACATCCTCAAACTGGGCTCCAGGAACCAGGTACCCCTGACCTCCCTCGACCTCCCTGACCTCCCTAACTCCCCTGACCTCCCTCGACCTCCCTGACCTCCCTAACTCCCCTGACCTCCCTCGACCTCCCTGACCTCCCTAACTCCCTGACCTCCCTCGACCTCCTGACCTCCGTGACCCCCTGACCTCGACCTCCCTGACCTCCCTGACCCCCGACGACCTCCCTCGACCTCCCTGACCTCCCTAACTCCCTCGACCTCCCAAACTCCCCTGACCTCCCTGACCTCCCCCGACCTCACTAACTCCCTTGCCCTCCCTGACCTCCGTGACCCCCCTGACCTCTCTGACCTCCCTGACCTCCGTGACCCCCCTGACCTCTCTGACCTCCCTGAGCCCCCTGACCTCCCTCCCTCGACCTCCCTGACCCCCCTGACCTCCCTGACCCCCCTGACCTCCCTGACCCCCTTGACCTCCCTGACCCCCCTGACCTCCCTAACTCCCTAACTCCCCTGACCTCCCTGACCCCCCTGACCTCCCTGACCCCCCTGACCTCCCTGACCTCCCTGACCTCCCTGACCCCCTGACCTCCGTGACCCCCCTGACCCCCCTGACCTCCCTGACCTCCCTGACCCCCCGACCTCCCTGACTCCCCTGACCTCCCTGACTCCCCTGACCTCCCTGACCCCCCTGACCTCCCTGACCTCTGACCTGCGACCCTCCTGGACTGAAGCTCGTGTTTGTAGAAAAGTGTGAGTTTGCTGGTGTGTTTTTCAGGAGGGGCCTCAGGCAGAGCTGAGCGCTCCACCGTCTGCTGTGAGTCACTCGTCTTTCACACCTTTCACTCTGAAAACATAAATGACCTCTGACCTCTGATTGTCCTGACCTTCTGCAGAGCTCCAGCCGATTGGACCTGGACTCGGCCAATGACGGCGCTTACTCTGTGCCTCGACGAATCACCAGCCACCTGGGAACGAAGGTGAGAAATCCACTCGGTTCAGATGGTTGTGTGTTCTCCTGCAGATGGAGGTGGTGGAGGTTCAGATGGTTGTGTGTTCTCCTGCAGGTGGAGATGGTGGAGGTTCATATGGTTCAGATGGTTGTGTGTTCTCCTGCAGGTGGAGATGGTGGAGGTTCATATGGTTCAGATGGTTGTGTGTTCTCCTGAAGGTGGAGGTGGTGGAGGTTCAGATGGTTCAGATGGTTGTGTGTTCTCCTGCAGGTGGAGATGGTGGAGATGGTGGAAATGGTGGAGGTTCAGATGGTTGTGTGTTCTCCTGCAGGTGGACATGGTGGAGGTGGTGGAGGTTCAGATGGTTCAGATGGTTGTGTGTTCTCCTGCAGGTGGAGGTGGTGGAGGTTCAGATGGTTGTGTGTTCTCCTGCAGGTGGAGGTGGTGGAGGTTCATATGGTTCAGATGGTTCAGATGGTTGTGTGTTCTCCTGCAGGTGAAGATGGTGGAGATGGTGGAGGTTCAGATGGTTCAGATGGTTATGTGTTCTCCTGCAGGTGGAGATGGTGGAGGTTCAGATGGTTGTGTGTTCTCCTGCAGGTGGAGGTGGTGGAGGTTCAGATGGTTCAGATGGTTGTGTGTTCTCCTGCAGGTGGAGATGGTGGAGATGGTGGAGGTTCAGATGGTTGTGTGTTCTCCTGCAGGTGGAGATGGTGGAGGTTCAGATGGTTCAGATGGTTGTGTGTTCTCCTGCAGGTGGAGATGGTGGAGATGGTGGAGGTTCAGATGGTTCAGATGGTTGTGTGTTCTCCTGCAGGTGGAGGTGGTGGAGGTTCAGATGGTTGTGTGTTTTCCTGCAGGTGGAGGTGGTGGAGATGGAGGTTCAGATGGTTCAGATGGTTATGTGTTCTCCTGCAGGTGGAGATGGTGGAGGTTCAGATGGTTGTGTGTTCTCCTACAGGTGGAGGTGGTGGAGGTTCAGATGGTTCAGATGGTTGTGTGTTCTCCTGCAGGTGGAGATGGTGGAGATGGTGGAGGTTCAGATGGTTGTGTGTTCTCCTACAGGTGGAGATGGTGGAGGTTCAGATGGTTGTGTGTTCTCCTGCAGGTGGAGATGGTGGAGGTTCAGATGGTTCAGATGGTTGTGTGTTCTCCTGCAGGTGGAGGTGGTGGAGGTTCAGATGGTTCAGATGGTTGTGTGTTCTCCTGCAGGTGGAGATGGTGGAGATGGTGGAGGTTCAGATGGTTGTGTGTTCTCCTACAGGTGGAGATGGTGGAGATGGTGGAGGTTCAGATGGTTCAGATGGTTGTGTGTTCTCCTGCAGGTGGAGGTGGTGGAGGTTCAGATGGTTCAGATGGTTGTGTGTTCTCCTGCAGGTGGAGATGGTGGAGATGGTGGAGGTTCAGATGGTTGAGATGGTTGTGTGTTCTCCTACAGGTGGAGATGGTGGAGATGGTGGAGGTTCAGATGGTTCAGATGGTTGAGATGGTTGTGTGTTCTCCTACAGGTGGAGATGGTGTACAGTCTTCTGTCCATGTTGGGGACCCATGATAAGGACGACATGTCTCGGACTCTTCTGGCAATGTCCAGTTCTCAGGACTCGTGCATCGCCATGAGGCAGTCGGGCTGTTTACCTCTGCTCATCCAACTCCTCCACGGCAACGACAAGGACTCACTACTGCTCGGTATGACACCTCCACCCTCGCTACAACACCACCCCCGCAACAACACCACCGCAACACCACCACCACACCACCGCAACATCACCGCAACACCACCACAACACCACCCCCGCAACAACACCACCGCAACACCACCACAACACCACCACAACTCCACCGCCGCAACACCACCGCCGCAACAACACCACCGCAACACCACCGCAACATCACCGCCACAACACCACCGCCACAACAACACCACCGCCACACAACACCACCGCCACAACACCACCGCCACAACATCACCACCACAACACCACCACCACAACACCACCGCACACACCCACCACCGCAACACCACCACCACAACACCACCACCACAACACCACCACCGCAACACCACCACAACACCACCGCAACACCACAACACCACCCACACACCACCACAACACCACCACAACACTACTGCAACACACTGCAACACCACCACCACACAACACCACCCCCACAGCAACACCACCACCACACCACCACCACAACACCACCACCGCAACAGCACCGCAACACCACCACAACACTACTGCAACACCACCACCACCACAACACCACCCCCACAGCAACACCACCACCACAACACCACCACCGCAACACCACCACCGCAACACCACCCCCGCAACAACACCGCAACACCACCACCACACCACCACCGCAACACCACCACCACACCACCACCGCAACAACACCACCGCAACACCACCACATCACCGCAACAACACCACAACACCACCCCCACAACAACACCACCACAACACCACCCCCACAACACCACAATACCACCACCACAACACCACCCCCGCAACAACACCACCACCTCAACACCACAACACAGCACTAACTGTGTGGTGTTGTGCGCTCAAGTGTGTGTTGTGTAGAGCCCGACCGATATATCGGTTGGCCGATATTATCGGCTGGTATGGGCAACTTTAGGCATATCGGCTATTGGCCGATATGCTTGCTGATAGGGGCAGATATTTCCCGTGGCCATGTTACACCTCGTTATAAAGCTTAGACTCTCTACATTCTGTTCATTTAATCCAATTTACAGACAGATAAATGTCCTAATATGTGGCTCCACATCAGTATTTATCTACGGAGTCATTTGTCTGTGTGTGTCCATACTGTCCCTGAACACACCACAGAGTCGCGTCACTCACGTGTGTTTGTTTACACCTGCAGACACAGATCCAAACACTGAGATTATATTCTTTTTACGGACAATCGGTTTGAGTCTGGATTAAAAGGACATTTATTAGTGCAGATTTGTGATGTGAGGAGGAGCCTGTGTGAGCGGTGAGTGTTGGAAATATGTCGACTCTGAAGCTAGTTTTGGTCATTTGTTATGGGTTAGCTGCTGTAGCTCCCGCACATAAACAGACTGTTTTCTATTGGTCTGTTCTAAAGTGATTATATTGCTCGTATATTTGCTACTGGACCTGCACTGATATGTAAATGAGCTGTGAACAGACGTGTGAATTATGACATTTGTGTATATAATTAATTACCGCGGCGCGCACGTATTTATGGCTAAAGGCTAATAGCGCTACTTTCTTTACTAGTTATGGGTTCGTCGCCAACGAAATGACTCTTAGAACCGGCTCTTTGAAGGGAACGACGGGAGCCTGATCCTTATTGGGAGCCGTGTTTTCTCTTTCTCTCACTTTTTTTCTCTTCACGCCGCTTGATTCGTGGTATGACAGCGGCAGCGGCTCAAAACTAAACTTTGAGAAATTTGCGTGTACGTAGGATTAAAAAAAATTAAAAAAACAAGCATATTTGACTGTAGTTTAGCATAAAATAAATAAGTCCTGGTTTAGTCCTTTTTCAGTCCTGGTTTAGACCTGGTTCAGTCCTGATTCAGTCCTGCTTTAGACGTGCTTTAGACCTGCTTGCAACAAAACAATCTGAAGAGCCACTTGGGAGCCAAAAGAACCAGCAGCTTTTAGTGAGCCGAGCCAAAAGAGCCGGTTCTCTAAAAAGAACTGGAATAAACATCACTAGTGTCTAGAATGTGATGCAAAAATGCCATTAAGTCAAACTACTGTCTGTAAATATGATGTAAAGAGGCAGAAGAACAATAAATGTTTCCTAAATAAACCCAGTTTAAAATCCACCAGAGCCAAACCTAAGTTTTTTAAACAATTCAACATTTACAGTGAATTTTTACATCACTAAATATATCGGCGATTATATCGGCAGCTCCAACTCCCATTATATCGATTTCATATCGGCCACAGCAAAATCCATATCGGTCGGGCTCTAGTGTTGTGTGTTGTGTGTGTTGTTGTGCGCTCACGTGTGTGTTGTTGTGCGCTCACGTGTGTGTTGTGTGTTGTTGTGCGCTCACGTGTGTGTGTTGTGTGTTTGTTGTGTGCTTTGTGCGTCACGTTGTGTGTTGTGTGTGTTGTGTGGTGTTGTGTGTGTGTGTTGTGCGTGTTGTTGCGCTCACGTGTTGTGTGTGTTGTTGTGCGCTCAGTGTGTGTGTGTGTTTGTTGTGCGCTCACGTGTGTGTGTGTGTTGTGCGCTCACGTGTGTGTTGTGTGTGTGGTGTGCGTTGTGTGTGTTGTTGTGCGCTCACGTTGTGTGTGTTGTTGGTGCGCTGTGTGTGTGTGTTGTTGTGCGCTCGTGTGTGTTGTGTGTTGTGTGTGTTGTTGTGCGCTCACGTGTGTGTTGTGTGTGTTGTGTGTGTTGTTGTGCGCTCACGTGTGTTGTGTGTGTTGTGCGCTCACGTGTGTGTTGTGTGTGTGTTGTGCTCACGTGTGTGTGTTGTGCGCTCAGTGCTGTGTGTTGTTGTGTTGTGTGTGTGTGTTGTGCGCTCACGTGTGTGTGTGTGTGTGTGTGTGTGTTGTTGTGCGCTCACGTGTGTGTTGAGTGTGTTGTGTGGTGTTGTGCGCTCACGTGTGTGTTGTGTGTGTTGTTGTGCGCTCACGTGTGTGTTGTGTGTGTTGTTGTGCGCTCACGTGTGTGTTGTGTGTGTTGTTGTGCGCTCACGTGTGTGTGTGTGTGTTGTTGTGCACTCACGTGTGTGTCGTGTGTGTTGTTGTGCGCTCACGTGTGTGTTGTGTGTTGTTGTGCGCTCACGTGTGTGTTGTGTGTTGTTGTGCGCTCACGTGTGTGTGTGTGTGTTGTTGTGCGCTCACGTGTGTGTTGTGTTGTTGTGTGTTGTTGTGCGCTCACGTGTGTGTTGTGTGTTGTGCGCTCACGTGTGTGTTGTGTGTTGTTGTGCGCTCACGTGTGTTGTGTTGTGTTGTGTGTTGTTGTGCGCTCACGTGTGTGTTGTGTGTGTTGTGCGCTCACGTGTGTGTTGTGTGTGTTGTTGTGGGCTCACGTGTGTGTGTGTTGTGTGTTGTTGTGCGCTCACGTGTGTGTGTGTGTGTGTTGTTGTGCGCTCACGTGTGTGTTGTGTGTGTTGTTGTGCGCTCACGTGTGTGTGTGTGGTGTGTGTGTTGTGTGCTCAGTGTGTGTGTGTTGTTGTGTGCTCAGTGTGTGTTGTGTGTTGTTGTGCGCTCATGTGTGTGTTGTGTGTGTGTGTGTGTGTGTGTGTGTGTGTGTGCTCGTGTGTGTGTGTGTGTGTGTTGTGTGTGTTGTGTGTTGTGTGTTGTGTTGTTGTTGTTGTTGTGCGCTGTGTGTGTGTGTGTGTGTGTGGTGTGTGTGTGTGTGTTGTGCGCTGTGTGTGTGTTGTGCGTCACGTGTGTGTTGTTGTGCGCTCACGTGTGTGTGTGTGTGTTGTTGTGCGCTCACGTGTGTGTTGTGTGTGTGTTTGTGCGCTCACGTGTGTGTTGTGTGTGTTGTTGTGCGCTCACGTGTGTGTTGTGTGTGTTGTGTGTGTTTGTGCGCTCACGTGTGTGTCGTGTGTGTTGTGTGTGTTGTTGTGCGCTCACGTGTGTGTCGTGTGTGTTGTGTGTGTTGTTGTGCGCTCACGTGTGTGTTGTGTGTGTTGTTGTGCGCTCACGTGTGTGTTGTGTTGTTGTGCGCTCACGTGTGTGTTGTGTGTTGTTGTGCGCTCACGTGTGTGTTGTTGTGTTGTTGTGCGCTCACGTGTGTGTGTGTGTGTTGTGTGTTTGTGTGTGTGTGTGTGTGTGTGTGTGTGTGTGTGTGTTGTGTGTTGTTGTGCCTTCAGTGTGTGTTGTGTTGGTGTTGTGCGCTCACGTGTGTGTGTTGTGTGTTGTTGTGCGCTCACGCTGTGTTGTGTGTTGTGTTGTTGTGCGCTCACGTGTGTGTGTGTGTGTGTGTTGTTGTGCGCTCACGTGTGTGTTGTGTGTTGTGCGCTCAGTGTGTTGTTGTTGTGCGCTCACGTGTTGTGTTGTGTGTGTTGTGCTCACGCTCACGTGTGTGTGTGTGTTGTTGTGCGCTCACGTGTGTGTGTGTGTGTTGTGTGTGTTGTGTGTGTGCTCAGTTGTTGTGTGTGTTGTGTGTGTAGTGTGTGTTGTGTGTGTTGTTGTGCGCTCACGTGTGTGTTGTGTGTGTTGTGTGTGTTGTTGTGTGTGTTGTTGTGCGCTCGTGTGTGTGTGTGTGTGTTGTTGTGCGTTGTGTGTTGTGTGTGTTGTGTGGCGTGTGTGTTGTGTGTTGTGCGCGTTGTGTGTGTGTGTGTTGTGCGCTCCGTGTGTTGTGTGTGTTGTTGTGCGCTCACGTGTGTGTGTGTGTGTTGTGTGTGTTGTTGTGCGCTCACGTGTGTGTTGTGTGTGTGTTGTGTGTGTGTTGTTTGTGTGGTGTGTGTGTTGTGTGTGTGTGTTGTTGTGCGCCTCATGTGTGTGTTGTGTGTGTTGTTGTGCGCTCACGTGTGTGTGTGTGTGTGTTGTGTGCGTCACGTGTGTGTGTGTGTGTTGTTGTGCGCTCACGTGTGTGTTGTGTGTGTTGTTGTGTGTTCACGTGTGTGTGTGTTGTGTGTGTTGTGCGCTCACGTGTGTTGTTTGTGTGTGTTGTTGTGCGCTCACGTGTGTTGTGTGTGTTGTGTGTGTTGTTGTGGCTGTTGGTGTTGCTGTGTGTGTTGTTGTGTGTTGTTGTTCAGTTGTTGTGTGTGTTGTGTTGTTGTGTGTGTGTGTGTTGTGTGTGTGTGTGTGTGTGTGTTGTGTTGTTGTCGCTCACGTGTGTGTTGTGTGTGTTGTGTGTGTGTGTGTGTGTTGTTGTTGGTGTCACGTTGTTGTGTGGTTGTTGTGTGCTCACGTGTGTTGTTGTCGTGTGTGTGTGTGTGTTGTGTGTGTTTGTTGTGCACTCACGTGTGTGTGTGTTGTGTGTGTTGGTGTTGTGTGCTCACGTGTGTGTTGTGTGTTG